TAGTCGTTTTCCAAACACGGAGAGAAACGGATTTATTCCTTCGATTGTTGTTGTATACGTATCGACCGAACGTAGTCGGTTTCCGAACACGGAACGGGACGGACGTTTTCCTTTTCGCTCTCCGAGTAAAGATTTCGTCGATATGCGAATGTATTGAGTAAAATATTGAAGTGTAAATATTAAAATAATAAAAATTAGAAAAAAAACGTATAAAACTTGAATACGGAAAATAATCGTGTGATGCTTTCGAAAAAAAAATTCGATGAACGATAAAGGAAATAAAAAATAAATGATGACAAAGAAATGATCCGATCGCGTGATCGTATCGCGTTGTCGTTCCTCCTTCGTTTCTTTTTATCTGAAACAACGAAATAATGATATAACGTTGATCCGTATAAACGATAATTTAGAATTTTTTTAGAAAAAAGAAAATTAAAATTCTATCTCTTTTTTCCCCTTTGGTCTCGAGCGTCGTAACAAGATAAGCGTTATGATAATTCGTGTGAACTATAAGTGAGATTAAAGAAGATAAAAATTTCGTTTGAATATTAAAGATAAAAGAAGAACCAAAATGATCTCTATACGTGTATCTTTGATATCGCGAGTGACGCGTGTTTGCGTCGTTGAATATCGTCGCTGTGTCTTCGATGACGATAATCTTTTGCGTGAAAGAATTTTCTGTAAAATGGAATATTACGAGTTGAAATTCTCGATAAAATAGTCGGTACTTTAGATTAGGTTAACTTGACGTGTTAACTTTAATTTGAAATAATATTGAAAAAATATTATGTTTGATCGCGGATCGTATGTACGCGTTACTGTAAAGAACTGTTATTTAATTATTTAATCATTCGCTTGCTTACTTGTTACTTGTGCAGTTTTCGTTTGCTTTGTTTGTTACTCTCTATATTCGTTATACGTCTTATCTCTGATCTAAATCCGAACGCGATTTGCGAGAGATTATTCGTTTATTGTGATTTAATTAAATTGATTTTGCCTTTCGATATATTAAAATTCGTAGTTGGTGAAATTTTATTTGATTAATGTTACGTTGAACGATAAATGAAATATTGGCAAAATTTAACGTCGAGAAAATTTTTTGACATTTGACGAACTTATTATATCGATCTGTTTGAATGATAATTTTTTATTAATCGGATAATTAGAGTAATTTAATCGAATATTTAATTCTTTTTTTTTTTTTTTTAATGCGTTTTTACTGAATCTTCTTTGATAATGTGATAAATTCGAGGACGAAAAGGATTATCGGAAAAAAAAGAAACAAATATCGAAAACGTTTCGTACGTACGTTTCTATCCGTTGCGTATGAATGATGTCTGAATGAATGATTGTAATGTATCATCGGCTGAGAAATATTTTCGAAGAAAAAAAAAAATGGAAGAACGATTGATATTTTTATAAATGCGTTTCGTGTTGATATTTCTCTCGTAGCGAATAATTAAAGATAAAATGCGTCTCTTGACCAAATTTTTTTGTGGGACTCGCGACTCGGAATGGAGAAGGAATGTGGAAGGGAAATTTTAGTTTCGAGTTCGTTAATTTTTTTTATTAAAATCTTTTATTGATTAATTTTTTAGAGATATTGATCGTATCGAAAAAAACTTTTGATACGCGATATTGAATTCCGTCTGTATGTGCACGCTCTTGACGATGAATATATTAACGCGAAGCGACCGTTTATCTATCGTTTTTACATCGTACGTCGCGATAAATAACTTTCAAAATGTACGATCTGGTTTAACGATCCGATTATACTTGCGGATTACGATAGGAATGAATTACGATATATTGTAACTGTGTATTAAGAATAATGTCGATATTCGTTGCAATTTCGTTGTAATATCGTTGTAACTTCGCTACAAAAATTGTTTCGTATTTTATTTTTGTATTCCACGTGTACGAAGGATACGAGTTTTGATCTCGTATGGTTCTTGTAATTCCAAACTTATCTTCCGATTTTTTGCTCTGCTGCTCCGACCGTTCGTTGTCGATCGTATCAAAATTATCGTTTTTGAATCGGCTGAACCGGTACTCGCGCATTTTAATCGACAGAGAAAATTCTTCGTGAATTTCGATACGATACGTGATACGTCGTACATCTAATCCATTTCGTGAAACGTTCTCTCGACGAATTATCTCTTGATTTTTATTATCGTAAAGATATACGTATCCACGATATTATTCGCGTACTGCGTACTGTGTTGCGTATCCGCGATTGTATTAGAAGAATATTCGTGAGTAAAAGATCGATGTGTGTATTTGTATCAAAAACTAATAATTATGTAGATGATAAGGAAGAGGAAAGCGATGAATATGCATAATTGTACGAGTGTAGACGTTTTATTTATTTATTTATTTTTTTTTTTTTTTTTTTTTTTTACGCTATGCGCGTATCCACGTATCTCGCCATCGTACAAACATTCCGCGAAATTATCATGTTTTTCTGAACTCGGATTCCATTTATATTATGCGGTATTGTCTTCGATCTTCTTTGCATTCTTTGCTTCTTTTATCTTTTCTTTTTCCAATTTTATTTTTCTTATCCTCCGTGTAAAGTGGATATGAATAATATCGTATCACCTGATTTTATTTTATAATTGCTTTCGCCCTAAAAATTTTTATAAAATCATTGTTATCGATGTAAGAATTGAAAGAACAAAAGAAAAGCAAATTCTTGTATTGTAAGCTGACGGAGATAAAATAACGAACGCGTGCGAATACTGTACACGAGTACTGTACACGCATACGCGATATATATAATGCGTACGTGATATGTATATATAAAATATATGATATATATTTACATAATTACTTGTACAATTATTATTATATATTATAATATATATATATATATATATATGATACGATGATTTTTACATTTACCAATAATTCCCAATCGATGTCATTTATAAGAACCAAAATTCCTGGACGCCTGTAAATATAAAATAGTGAGAGGTAGAATGAACATTTGTATATATATATATTATGCGTATTTAGATATTTATATCGATAATATAAAGAAATAATTTCCATTGTATTGATCCGCCGATCTAATCGAATACATTTTTATTATACGTCTGTACTTTTTATTACGTTTATACGCGAATTAACTATTTATTTGTCACGGATCTAATAAAAAGAAAGAATCTTGCAGCATCGGATAGAATATGTAATATATAATATATCGCATAGAATATATAAAGATCAATTTTAATTTTTTGAAAGAAACGATATAATTTTTAACGCTGATCCATGCACCTCGTTATTTCTTATGAAAGAATACTAAGCCACTTGTTTAAAAGATATTTTAATTTGAAATTTATAAAATTTATTGTGCGAAAGTGAAAGAACAATGATGTATTGTTTATATCTTTTGCATGACATAAATTTAAATATTTTTCGATGTGAATAATTTGATATTTTTTAGGAATAGGAAATAACGAGCTACGTGGCTTGCGTGAATAAAAATTATTATTTTGCTTAAAAAAAAAATTGAAATTGATACGATTTCTATCGCTTCGTTTTATAGAAAAACTATTAATAGTGCACTAAAAACTATTAAATATTGTTTTTTTTTTTTTTTTTTTTTTTTATATCGAACAACTTTTATAAAAACATTTTTTCCTTACAAGATTTCGTTGTATTTAGACAAAACGGACACGTGTGTGCGTATGTGTGTGTGTAAATACTGTTTATACTATATATATGTACGTGTAGTATATATATGCATGTACTGCGTTTATGAATGCGTATACCAAGTCGTGTACCGTATCTGCGTGTATGTACTCTTATTAATCCGATTTATGCTGCCCTCTTTGAAAGCGCCGCAGAATTCAAAAGTCGCCATCTTAATTTTTTACAATAAAATTGGCAAGTGAGAACTAACGCATTGTTGCGTTATCGTATGTTTATGGTGCGGTATATGTGTCGCTACGAGAAACTACACGTGCCAGGGGAATAATTTGTGTAAAATTTTTTAAATTATCGCTCGGAAAGTTTATAGCGACGATATAAAAAAAAAAAATTATGATACGATTTAGTAACTTACACGGTATCCCCTTGTATAAAAAGTTCCTGTCGTTCCTTTAACAGATTATCTGTTATCCAGAAAAGTAGCTTTTGTACGGTCCCTGTAAAGTTCACGTGACGAATTATATTTACGTCGATAAAAAAAAAATTTGTAAAACTTACATTCATTTACTCCAGGTAAGTTTACTTCGTGCCTTTTTTTTTTATCGAAAAGTAATTCTGCCCCACCTCTGAAATTATTTAGCGAATAACTTGATATATCATAGTTTGGGGAAAAGTTAGGTTAGTTGATTTATTCGATGTTACCCGAATTCGATGGTCACGGAAATTTCGCTACTTTCGATGGACATATTTTTTTAATTTCAATTCTTAAATTGCACCACATTAAAACATGATTGGTTACGCTTGATTGTGAGAAAAAAATATATTCCTAAGTAAAACCACGTTTTACGAAATGCAACGAATATCCATCGATACGATCGACTCGTTTTGAAACGTGAATATAATGAAAATGTAAAGATATTTTTATAGAAAATTATTAATTATTAATCGAATATTTTATAATCTACTTTAAACATCTTTTTATATCAAAAGTTCAATTTCAAATTCACAAGCGAATAGCACGAATAGATTATTATATTCGCTATTACAATATTTAACGAAATATATAGATTTTTTTTTTTTTTTTTAAATTAATTACTAATAATCTTTTCGTATTATGCGAAATTTTTTTTGATAATATGTCATTATTCGTAATTGAGTATAAACGTATAGGTTAACTTCACAAATTTTTAATCGTTCGACAAAAATTTAGATTTTTGTTAAATAATTTTTATATTTTCGTTTTTCGAATCGAAATATAATGAATTAACTGATAATATCATTTGTCGTGATATTTCGTGAAAAGTAGTTTTGTTAGAAATGTACCCAGAAAGATATCGTTCACTGCACATAGAAACAACGTGGCGATTTTACGGTTTAATTCCACGTTCCTTCTATTCAACTCGATCAGTGGTGTATGCATAACGAACGATGAAACGTTAATTTCTAAAGTCAAGATTTATTTACAAAAGCGTTTTTTTTGTTACGTATCGTGATGTGATCTCTCTCTCTCTCTCTCTCTCTCTCTCTCTCTCTCTCTCTCTCTCTCTCTCTCTTTCTCTCTCTCTTAATTTTTCTAAAAAGTACACGTGTCGAACGCTTTGTTATTGATCTTAAATTATCGATACGTAAAATGAAAATAATTTATATGATTTTGATTAATAAAAAATATTTGTTATTAATAAATCAATGGTAGCAACATTAATAATAAATATTAACAGAAATAAAATCTATGTTCAACTTAACGACGTGAAGGAACGAAATGTGAAATAAACGTTCCTTGAAATAAAATACAGCCCTGTCTTTTTTTTGAGGGTCATTAGTCTCGCTATTATGAATTTAATTACGATGTGAAGATAGTATTGTGTATGATTAATGATAATAGATAAAAAAAATTAAGTTTGTTATTTACGAATAGTAAATTGAAAAAATGTAGATATTGTTGGACGAATATGTAATAAAAAGGAAATAGCGGATAAAAATGTAGGATATACGAATGGACTGAAGTGCAGGTGCCATCGGCAGTAGCTGTAATGGCGGTTGTCGGAAAAGCGATCGTAGGTATTAAATGTCGTAAAACATAAATTATCGCGGTAAAATAGTATACGTTTATGTTATTTTGAACTTTTTATGTTCGTGTAATTCCGCGTAATCGTAATACACTTTTTATGTTTAGTATTAACTTCCACAATGTCGGAAGAAAACGAACATACTTCTGAAGAAACTGAGACAGAAATGAATACGGAAAATCACGATAAAGAACAATCGAAAAGTGAAACGTGCATGTTAAACAATGAAACGGAACAACCTATGTTGGAAGACGAAGAAATGCCAACGTATATCAGTGTATCTACTCCATCGAAACGCGAGGATTCGGATATCGATAATGCTAAACAACAAAGCAGAGTTCCACTGGAAGAGGATAATAGTCGAAGTCCTTATCATAGTGATGATCAAGGAGGAGGTAGTATCTATGTGTTATCTTCTGGTGAAGAGAGTAATCATCCGTATAATGATGAAGATGAAGATGAATATGCGGATAGCGAAGGTAAAAAAATGATATATATTAATATAATTTTGCTTGTTAATGAAACGATATTTGATGTACTAATTTTTATTGATATATGAATATATATGTATATATATATATATATACATGATATATATTTGTGTAGATACGAATGAAATGGACCTTGAGAATGAACATGAAAATGCAATGTTGGAAGATGAAGAAGAAGAAGATGAGGATGATGATGATGATGATGATGAGATAAATCCTTTGAGACTGCATAACGATGACTACGAAGATATTGATACGGAATACGAACCGATATGTTTTGATAGAGCATCTGATGATTTTGTATTAAATAATAGATTGAAACCGCGACATAAAGAAAAAAGTTTATCCTTGCAAGATTTGAGTATTTCAAAGAAAAATGCTCATTTACGATATAACAAGAAGAGACATAGTTTAAATGCTTTTAGATATAACTATTTACGTATGCAACAAAATCCGATATTGTATCCTACTATGCGGAAAAGGCAAATGATACCGTCTAAGTATCAACACGTGGAAAGTAAAGTGAAACAATACATAAAGAATATGAAGGAACAGAATAGAAGATCGATGGAAAAACGTATGAAAGAACAAGAATTTACGATGAATAAAAATTATGAAGAGAATGAGAGTAAGAAATATTTTTCTCAAATTATTATTTTCACGCTTGGAAGATATGTCTATTGTTTTATTTGTTATTTTGTTTATTGTTGTTAATTATGAACAGAGATATTATTCTTTGAGTATTTGAATATGTGAATATGAGTAATGAATATATGTGTGCGCGTATGTGTGTGTGTACACGTATATGTAATAAAATATTGTATCCATTTAGAGATGTAAGATGTTAAAAGAAACGATAAGATATTCTTCCATGTGACTGATTAATCAAGTTTTAAAATGATTCGTGTATAGGTAATTAATAAAAATTATAATTTTTACTTTTTATTTACCAGACTGTGACACCGAACGATTAAAAAATACGAGAATAACGAATAAAACTATAAAAGATTATGTAGAAAAAGCTATTCAGGATTTACAACAGGAAGAAATTGAAAGTAATAATTTGATGTACGATACGGCGCAATTATTAGAAAATGGAGAAAATAATAAAACTTCTGATAGATTGATTGAAAACCGATATAAACACGATCGAAAAGATATTGAATACAGTGATGTTCGAAATGAGAAACGTACGCAAAATTCTGATGATAAATTGGAAAAACGAAACGGTTCTGTAGACGTTGATAAACATCGTATTGAGTATCAAAATACTTTGGATAAAAATATAAAATTCGGTAACGTAAATCAATCTTCTCTGGTTAATAATCATCAGCCGACACCTACGTTTATAAATTTGCGTACATTGAGCTATGAGGAGTACATGCATGATGTTTCTAATACTGGTCAAAGAGAAGAATTGTCCGAGCACGAACAAGAAAAAACGAATGAAACTCGAGTATATAACGAAGCGGAAATGATTGGTTCGCAAGAAATGGATAACGGTAACGTTGATTGTCCTTTGAAAATTGCAAGCGTTAAAAGTATCTGCGCGATGCAAGATGAATCGGAAAATTTAAATTTTACAAAGATGAATACGACTGAAAAAATAAATATCGAGAATACCGAAGTGGTTGAATTGAAGGCTCGGCTCAGTCAAAAAGATGCGCAATTTCATAATTTGCGAGATGCTTATCAAAAAGTATTGACTGAAAATATAAAAATGAAACAAGAATTGGATGTTTTAAAAAATTCTTTGGCAAAATATAAAAATGAAAATAGAACGTGTGAAACGAAAATTGCATCTGTACAAACTGAAACGATTAAGGAATCTATTTCTAATCGGGATACCGTAGCGGAGGAAACGAATAATAAAATATCTCGTAGTAGTGTTGCGTCTACGGGAAGTTCTAATGATCAATGGATGGAAAGTGATTACAGTCCGGCTATATCTGTTAAACCTCCTGATTTGACTCCCATTCTTAATTCGGATGACAGTATCGTACTCGCTGATGCTAGCGTTCCAAAAAAAATAATGCATCCGTTATCTCGAACGTTTATTACCTCGTCTAGAATTTTACAAACGCTTTCGAATATAACGCAAGGTAAGACAAAAGTTGAAACTCCTTCGATGAGAAGTGACAAGAAACGATTGAACGAAAAATCTTCGAATAAATCGTCAAATTTGGATTGCAACTCTCCGATTCATTCATCCTGTTCCAAGAAAAGAAAAGCAACGGAAATGCCTGGTTCTTCTACTTTCGTTAAACCTTTTAAAATACCTCACACAACTGTGGAATCTTTGGAAGGAAAAAATAATACTAATGGTACGAATGATGTGGAATATAAATATTCCAAGGAACGTGTATCGTCGAAAATGGAAAGAGAGGAGGAAAGTACGGAGGTTAATAAAAATATTAATGGTCCTGTTTCTGTGGAAACTAAGATGGAAGGAACGGATGATTGTGAGGATAACGTAAAATGCTTCGTATATAGAGAGGATGAAAATAGTAAAAACAAAAGTTTTCTGATTCAAGCGGGAGAATCGACGAAGAATGAATTGGATGATGAAAAAAATCGTATTCAAGAATGTGGTCCGTATTTGTTGGGTAATCTTGAGGTACGAATGTCTGAGATAAACGGAACGATAAGTGTATGGGGTAAAGAGATAAATAATGAGTATACGAGTGATAATGAGGATGATGTGGAGGAATCCGAAAAGAAATCGTCTGAAAAGAAAACGTGCCATTTTTGGTCGAATACATCGCAAACAAGATTTAATGGAAGTCCGCTTATGTGTTCGACCAATAAAAAGCAGAAAATTCCGTTAAAATTCAATAGATCCAATATTTCTCAGTGTTGCCATTCTTTATCGTTAAATTCGATAAAAATGCATCCTTCGGTGGATGATGTAGGTGACAAAAGACATACGAATAATATTTTCAGCCCGAATACTAGTATTTCTTCTTGTAAAAACTGCAATTCTTCGATGTGTCGTAAAGAACGATCGATGTGTAAAGATATTTCGCAAGAAAAATTACATTCCTGTTGTGTACATCATATTGAAATTATGGATAAGGAATGCAGTTGTGGTTCGTATCATGAGAAACAAAAACATGATGTTAATCTTAAGCATTGTAAAGATAAATTTCACAATAAGGGAATTCGGAGAAATTTATGCAAAAATATATTTACATCGGATTCGAAAAATCATTCGCATGAAAATTGTACTGCGAACATCGATAAAGGGATTTGCAAATACCATACGTGTCGATGTTCGCTTCAAAATGTAATGGACAACAACGGTTCACGTTCGCGATGCTGCAACGCTGTTAGAGATGTTTCTTGTACATATAAATTTTCGGACAATATAAATAACACGGAAATCCACAGAAATTCTGATAGATGTAATCATAGTTCTTCAAAAGATGGTGAAGAAGATCCTTTAATTCCACTTAAACGAACTAATGAAACGCTTGAAGTAAGATAATGAAAAGAATATAATAAGAATAAATTAAATATGCGAAAAAAAATTTATCAGTTTTATGTATATTTATTCTCTATGTAATATCTCTGTGTACATTTTTTTTATGCATAGGCGAGACAACGAAGATTAAGCGGTGGTAAAAGGGTGCGAGGAATTCTTATGGATTTTTTAAAAGGATGTGGAGATTGTCGTAATAATAGTAGTTTAAGTAAAAATAATTGTCAGCAGAAAGAAACACCTTATACGGTAAATGATCCTTCGCAAATTAAAATTTCTCCTTCTTTTATACCCGAGCCTACGTGTTCTAGTTCCACGCAATGCAATGACAGGTAATTATGTTTTTTTTTTTTTTTTTTTTGTATTTTATATTATGAAAATTAAAAATGCGATACACAGAAATCATTGTTGCTTCTACTTGTAGATGTTGCCATGCGTATGCGCGCAGGATTGAATCTCAACTCGAAGAATTTCGAATAGAAATGGAAAGAATACGATCGCGCTCGGACGCGATTCTAGATATGCTCGGTATACTTCACTCTGTGGACATGAACTAAGGAAATTGATACGATTCTAAATAAGTGCTTTTTCCTTGTACAAATTATTATGTTAATTTCTTTAAAACGATATTTGCACTATCATCAAAGGTTCTTATTTACTCACTTCTACTTCATTACACATTAAAAAATACGTGATCAATTTATTAAAATAAAATACATGAATAAAAAATGCTACATTGTATCAGACGCATCATTCGTACTATAATGATTCAATTTTTGCGACATAGAAAAATACGACAAATGAGTTTATATCGTACAAATATTTACTATTTTTTAATAGATTTAATTTATCTATAGTTGGATGAATAAATTTACGTAAAGAAACTAGAAAATTTGTTACATTTTAAAATGACGGATATTTCACGTGTAATTTAAACGAGTTACCGAGAGTTTTTCGGATAGTTAAAATTTAAATTATATATCGATAAAATATTAATTCTTATTAATAATTGCAGTCGCAGGAATCGAATCCTGTTCCAGCCTCTCCGGGTAAAACGCCAGGTGGTATTTCTCCTTGTCCTTTGAAAATATTACTATAAGATGTTTTCAAGTAATTTACGTGACCTTGTAATGATCTTATCCGTCCTTGCGCTTGTTCAAATGCCTCGTTTAGGTTATTTATCTGACCTTGCATTTTTTGTCTAATCTATAAGTAATAAAATAATATTCGAGTAATTTAATTGATATCTAAATAGAATAGCTATTTTTTTTTTTTTTTTTTTTTTTTTTTTTNTTTTTTTTTTTTTTTTTTTTATATATATATAATGAATTACTTCGTCTCTATCTTTTTGCGCGGCTCTTGCAGTAGCTCTACATTGAGCCAATTGTCTTTCCATTTCTGCAATTTGACCTTGCATGGATCTTCTTATAGTTTCGCATCTCTCTTTCGTTCTTGCTACTTGTCTCGCAGAATCTTCTCGAACCTTTAATTATTCGTTTTAATTATCGTGTATTTTGCGATAAAACATATACGATGATAATATACCTGTTCGAGCATTGCCGTCAATTGTGTAACTTCATGCATTTTTTCATCGATTCGTTTTTGCAATTGCGCCTCGTGTTCTTCGAATCTTGCGAGCGTATTTTTCATACGTTCATTTTCATGTCGTAGTTCTGTATTTTTCCTTTCTAATTCCTCGAATCGTCCAGAACCATGACCTCTTTCGTCCTGCGTGTCGAGCGTCGGTTTATATTACTTATGATTTTTTAGCAGATTAGGATTTTTGCAAAAAAAATATAAAAACATTAACCTGCATTGCTTGATGCTCGCTACGTAAAACGTCCAATTGATTTTGCAAAGTTTGAATTTTATCTTTACAGCCTATAACTTCTCGTGAAAGGTCTTCGCAATTACGTTCTGCGACTAAGCGCATCTGTTGAGCTTCTTGCAACTTTACTTGCGTTTGTTTTAGAATATCTGGCAAAGGTGCAAGTTCTGCGAGCTTTTCTTGAAATTGATTCTATTCGATGATAAAATAGAAGATAATAAAATATAAATATACGTATTAAAAATCATATACACGTCGTACATACGTACCTTAACTCTTCCTATTTCCAAAGTTACATTTTCATTCATTCGTGCATTGTCCATCTCCATTAAATCAAGCTGTCGGCGTTGTTCTTCTACTTGTTGTTGCGCCTATTGTTCATATTTATCAATGTTTTTCATTAATATTTATTATATCACGCTATAGAAATTGAAGGATGAATGTTACGAATAAAACCTGTAAATATTTATTTCTGTAATCTTCTAACTGAGCGGCTTGATCTTGAATCAAGGATCGTAATTCTTCAAGTTCGTCCTGCGCTTCTCGAAAACGTTGTTTAAAAACGATCAATGTTTGTTCTTGCTCGACCATTTGTTCCTTAAATCCTATTGCGAAAAAAAAATAATTCTAATTATACTTTTATAAAAGAAATTTGTTTGAATTAAAGTACATTCCAAATAATCACCTTCAAATTTTTCTTTTTCGATCTCCATCGCTTTCAAACGTTCTTGAGCGTCTATCAATTTGATATCTAATTTTTCTTTTTCTTCGATTGCATCACGGGCTTGCTGTTTCAATTTGTCGGCATCTGTTCTTAAACACGAAACCTCGCATAATTTGTTTTTGTAATCATCTTGTAGACGTGCGTATTGTTCGCGTAGGTCACGTAACTGTTGCTGAGGACATGTGCTAGCGCCCTTTTTTTAAATAGCTGCTTTAGTTCGTGTTGAATCTTTTTCGGAAATTCAGTCTTACCATAGGAGCACTTATGCAAGGACCAGTACAGGTTGCAGGAGCAGGTGGCATCTGCATACGACGAAAAACGATCTTATATGATATGCGGTATATCACACTTAATAAAAATAAAAAATCTGAAACTTATATAAAAATGTATATTTATTTGATTCAAAATTATTTATGATATTTCAAGAATTTTACCGATATATATATATATATATATATATATATATATATATACATATATATATCTTCGAATGAGTAGAACGATTTTCATATATAATTTAATCGAAATATTAAATAGATACCTTAGGAAGAGGTATAGAAGATGGTTGTATAACAGAAGGTTGTATAGCAGGTACAGGAGGTACGTATGGAGTTGTGTTTGAAGGTTGAAGATTCAAAGGTGGAGGAGGACAACAACCACAAGGTGCACAAGGACCGGTACATTTCAATAACTTGCGTTGTTGTTCCAATTGTTGACGTTCTCGTTGAACATTGGCAAGCTCTATTTGCATATTGCGTACTTCGCATTCCATACTGCCCAATTGTTGCTCCTATAAAATAATTATAAATAAAAAAAACAGAAATTAAATTAAAGCTTAACTATAATTTGAAGCTGTACTAGCTGTTTGGTACTGTTCCCATAGGCAGCAAGTTTATTCTCTATTTCCGCTGGACATGTCCCCCTTGAAGGTGGTGGTCCTGTACATGGTGTTTTAACTGTGGCAGGACTTCGGCAGCACATGTCGGTTTGCGAAGAAGCACCACTTGTAACGCAAGGACCTGATGCGCCTCCCGCGAGTCTACGTGAATCTAAAAATATTAATATTAAAATTAATTTTTAATAAAAAAAAAAATTTTATTACATTGTAATGAAAATATAATTTACCTCCGCTAGGTAAATATGTCTGACTCTCGGGTTTTACTGAAACGTATAATTTCATTTTTATCTACTTGATTAAAATTATTGAAAGAAAAGATTGATAACTTTATCGAAATATATATATATATGTATGTGTGTGTGTGTGTATGTATATATGTATATGTATATATACCGCATATGGTAGTTGCAATTGGTGAAGTATCGATAAATTGAGACTGAAGACAACACTTGCACCGACAATAATCGTCGTCTTGCTGTAATGTAGTAGTGTATGAAGTTGAACGTAGAGGAGATGGACTTGATACTTCGGACGAAATTCCACCTGGACAGGTGTAACAACATGGACTAGTGATTCGTTGATTCAAACAAGCTAACTGACGTGTCAATTCCACATTTTCCTTCACGACTATTCTCATTTCAGCTTGTAGCCCGCATACCTTCCTTTGAAGACTTTCAACAGCGGTATCTTTTTCTAGTAATGCTTCTTCTAATTTATATCTAAGACGTCGATAAGTTAATTTTTGTAATAAAAATAAGATCACATGATTTATGTCAACATATTTTCATTAAAGATAATCTATACGATCGTTGTTAAGGAGATTAATTAGTTTTCACATTTTTTTGATCGATTTTCTATTTTTTTTCTTTTTTTTTTTTTTTTTCTTTTCTCTAACATATATGTATAATATATGTAATGTAATATATACAATATGTGATATCGTTAATTATGTAAAATGAAGTTATGTCTTGTAAAACTTACTTGCCACCTTCAAGCTGTGCATTTTCTAATACTAATTTTTCCTGCATTGTTAACGATTCTGTTAACTTTCCGGTCAAACTTTGAAGGCATCTATCTTTCCCTTTTTTTTTACTATCTGCCACAACTATTTTTGGTATTTCGTCTTCTGTATGCCCACAGATGATTACTCTTGGAAGTCTAATTGAATAACCATTCGATTCTTAGAAATATATATATTCTTAAAAATTAAATAATGTTATATAACGTACTTGTCTTCTGGATATTCTATTTGAGGTAAATCGAAACGATGTTTAAGTTTTTCTAATTCCATATCCGTTATTTTGTCTATTTTCTCCTTTATTTCGATTTCTTCTTCTTCGGTGATAACCTACGATTTATTTTTTCTTTTATATCCTTTTTTTTTCTTATTTTTTTACATTCTTTTCCCCCTTATTCATTTTAATGATTGCTAGAAATACCTACTGCACTAGGTTTTAAAAAAGGTTGCATATCGAACATCTTTGCAAAAGTAGAACTTGAGATATCGGTCAATCCCAACAATCGTTGTAATTTTCGCGTTATCTGCTCGAATTCTGCCAATTTCTTCATTACTTCATCTTGTTTTTCGTGAATTATTAATGTATCGTCATCCGTTAAATCTTTTTTCTATAAATAAAATTTAAATAAAAAAATTAATTTTAAATCATTAAATTATGCTTTTCAAATCTTATTTTAAATTAAAATTGTTTTAGTTTGTTTCTCGTAGAATTATTACGTTTGAAAGCGCGGCTATTTCTTGTTTTAACTGTTCGATTTCTTTTGAAAGTACAACGCAACGTTCATCCGCTTTCTTCATTTCGACCATTACAGCGCTATCGGTCAAAGGAGACGAACTTAATACCGATTCCTGTTTACCACCTTGTTTAATTGGCACACCTGAAAAAATATGAAATGTTATGAACATTTACAAAATAATTTTAATTTAATTTTTTTATAATCTTATTTTTTTTTTTTTTTTTTTCTGTGATTTATAATATTATACCTTCACCGACACCAGGAGGAAGTGGATATGATGGAGGTCGTTCTTCCTTCTTTTCCGGCTCTTTTTCTTCGCTTATCATTTTCGATTTTTTTTCTCTGCTTTCTTCGTCTTCTTCTTTTTCTTCTTCTTCTTCTTCTCCTCCTCCTTCTCCTTCTCCTTCTTCTCCTCCTATTCCTCCTTTTTCTTCTTCTTCTTCTTCTTCTTTTAAATTTTCTTCGATATTTTCATCAGGAACTTCATCTATTATTTCCTCGCTTTCTTCAGCCATGCTTCGTAATT